GAGGACATGGAGAAACTGGAACCCTCATACATTGCTGAGAATGTAAATCAGTGCTGCCACTTTTGCAGTTTGGTAGTTCCTCAAAAAGTTAAACATAGAGTTGCCATATGACTGAGCAATCCCACTCCTAGGTATCCACCCAAGAGAAAAAAAACACACACATCCACAACAAAAACTTGTACACAAATGTTCAGAGCAACATTATTTGTCATAGCCAAACATGAGAAAACTGAAATTATCTATCAACTGGCAAGTGAATAAACAAAATGTAGTATATCCATACAATAGAATATCATTTGGCAATAAAAGGGAATGCTACATGCAACAACACGGATGAACCTCAACCATTATGCTAAGTGAAAAAGCCACTCATGAAAGTCAATATATTGTATAATCCCATTTATATGAGATGTCTAAATAAGACAAATCAATAGAGACAGAAAGTGGATTAGCTGATTGCCTAGGGCTGGGGGTCATGGGGAATAACTGCTAACGGGTATGAAGCTTCTTTTGAGGGGAGGGTTAAAAATGTTCTAAAATTCATTGTGGTGATGGTTGCACAAGTCTGTGAACATACTAAAGACCACTGACTAGTACCCTTTAAAAGGGTGACTTTATTGACTGAAGCATTATGCTGTACACCAGAAATTGATACAACATTGTAAACTGACTATACTTCAATAATATATATATATATATACATATATATATATATATATATATATATATATACACACACATATATATGCACACACACGCACACACATAAGGAGGGGAAAAAGGTGAATTTATGGGGGAGGTATAGCTCAGAGTGGTAGAGTGCATGCTTGGCATGCACAGGGTCCTGGGCTCAACCCCCAGTACCTCCATGTAAAAAAAAAAGGCGAGGGGTATAGCTCAGTGGCAGAGCATGTGCTTGGCATGCACAAGGGCCTGGGTTCAATCCCCAGTGCCTCTGTCAAGGGAGAAAAAAACATTAAAAAAAAAGGGTGAATTTTATGGTATGTGACATATATCTCAAGAAAGCTGTAACAAAAAGATGGAAGCAATAACAGAATGTCTGTGTGCTAATGGGAATGATCTTGTGGACGGGGAAACTGAGGCAGGAGAGAGAATAAAAATTGCTGGAGGAATGTACTCAAGTAGGTAAGTGAGGATGGGATATAGTGTCAAAGTGGAAGGGCAGGATTTTGATGACAGTGGGGACAGTTTATCCATAATAACAGAAAAGAGGGCAGAGTGAGTACAGATGCTGTCTGGTGGTTGGATGTGGTAGCAGGAATCTGTGGAGGTTTTCTTCTGCTGTTTTAAAATTTTCAGTCAAGTAGGCAGCCTGAGTCTAGGATGGGAGAGGAGGTGTTGGGGATTTGAGGTGAGAGAAGGTATGAAATTATCACCTGGGAGGGTAAGACAGTGAGTGGCCTAGGGAAGGACTGTGGAGCTGGCAGAGTTGGATTTAAGCAGGGCTGTGGTCTTGCCTGATAAGTATGCTGAAGGGACAGGGGGCAAGGGAAGTAAGGATGTGTGCAAGGGAATGATTATTAGGATGGACTGCGGAATCTAAGCTGAGTAAAGGAAGGACATGGGAACATGGAGGAAGTAAAGGGTAGTGAAAACGTTCAGTCCAGTGGCGTTGAAGGACTGTTGGAATTGAGGTGCTAGAGGGAGGGAACTAGAAGGACAGGTACTGCTTGGATAGCAGGATGCCTGAAACTGAGATTATGGAGGTGAAACAATCACAGGTACTGGTAAGAAGGGTAAGAAGGGGAAGACTATCGGGGTGGGTGGGGTTGAAAGGCAAGCACCCTGCAGAAGAGCAGACCACAGAACTGAGAGACAAGAATATTGGAAGGGCATCTCTGAGGATATTTAAGTCACCAAGAAGTAGGACTGGATTAGTGTTACAGAGAGTGACAGTGAGCTAGTAGATAAATTCTAGTAATGAGGCATGACGGGGGCCAGGTAGGTGACGGTATATTTAGTCTGATGATTTTGAGATTTAAAACAAGGTGGCTGAAATTTACATAATCTTACTGTATCTCTCCACAAATCACTTATGAATTACAAAGAAAAAACGAGTAACTGTAACGGAGAAACCGGGAGACACCACCTTAAACAAACAGTCAAAGTGAACAAAACCAGTATTGGGATACTGACATCATGTGCCTCCTAATACAAAGCACTGAAGACACATCTCTCCCATGGTATTCTGGCCAAAATTATGTAACTTAACTACAATCGGAAGGAAACATCAGACAAACCCAAATTCTAGAAAACAGCTGGCCAAGACTCTTCGAAAGTATCAAAGTCATGAAAGACAAAGAAAAACTAAAGAACTGTCCCAGACTGGAAGAGCTGAAAGAGATATGACAACTAAATGCAATGTGGGATCCTGAATTAGATCCTGGAAGAGAAAAATCTTATTAGTGGAAAAACTGATGAAACTCCAATAGGTTCTGTATTTTCATTAAGAGTACTGTACTAATGTTAATTTCCTACTTTTTCTTAATTTCCTACTTTTGATCATTGAACTGTATGTAGTTGTATAACATTTGGGGAATCTGAGCGAAGGCTATATGGGAATTCTTTGTACTATTTTTATAACTTTGTTAAAAGCCTGAAATTATTTTTTTAATTTAATTGTAAAAAAAACCAAAGAGTGTTTAAGGAGGAGGGAGAGAAAATGTCTGGGAAGGACATTTAGTAGAGTGAGGACACCTACCTCTGTGTCCTGGCCACCTGGTAAGAGGGGTGTAAGGAGGCTGCTGGGGGAGCAGAGTGCTCAGGGGAAAGTCAGATTTCTATTCAAGCAGTGGTTCTCAGTGTAGGGGGATGGACAGTCAAGGCAGTGTTTGGGGGCATTTTTTATTGTCACAATAATTCGAGATTACTAGTGACATTTAGTGGGCATGGACCATGGTTGCTCAGCATCCTGCAGTGCACAGGACAGCTGCACACTGCAAAGAATTGTACTGCATCCCATACAACTTTAGAATGCTCCACCAGACCATCATGCAGGTGGAAAACGTATTCATTCGCTCATTCATTCATTCAACAAACACTTATGGAGCGAGCCTACTATGTACAAGCACTGGTTTAGGTAATAGGGCTACATCAGGGCATGAAAAAGCCAAAAATCTCTGCTCTTCTAGAGCTTACAACTGAGTGGGAGACTCAGACAATAAACAATAAAAATAATAAGGATGTAATTATATATTATGTAAGAGGTGAGGAGCACTATGGGAAAAGTGGAGCAGGGCGTGTGCTAGGGGATAGGTGCGATTTTAAATAGGATGGTCAGGGTAGGCCTCACTGAGAAAGTGACATCTGAGTAGATACCTGAAGGAAGTGAGGGCACGAGCCTTGTGGATATTTGTGGGGAAAGCATTCCAGGTACAAGGGATAGCCCAGTACCAAGCCCTGAGGTGGATGTGTGCCTAATATGTTCAAGTAGCCTAGAGGAGGCCAGGATGGGTGGAATAGAGGGAGCGAGCGGGGAGAGAGGTAGGAGATAAGGTCAGAAAGAAGTTTAATATATAATGACCTTTCTAGAAATTCAACAACCTTATAAATCGAGGGAAAACTGCACTTTGTTTTGTTTGGAACTTTACGAAGAATTGTTTATTAGCTAGGAAAACTGCATCACCCTATCCATGGTTTCTGAGTCACAGTGGAGCTGTCACACTCCCAGGTACAAGTATTATTATGTGCAAGACCATTTCACTATGTCTTATGGTGGAATTATACCCCAGCCTTTACCTACTGAAATACATCTTGTTTTATTATAAATTATTCTTCTTTCATTTCTCCCTTATATTCAATTAGGACACTATATTGGCTTGGGGGAAATTATGTGTGTAGACAGGTTCTATTATCTAAACACTTCATTGCAGAACAGTGAAGGGGGTGCTTCAAATATACATTATGAAAATGGGGTGCTGCGTCCAAAAGGTATGAGAACCACTAAGGTATGGCAAGAAAATAACAGGACTATTCAGAAACCGGGGTGAGAATAAAGGGGATTTTGCTGATGACTGAAGGTGAGTTCCAGAGGCCTGGTCAAAGGTTTTCAGGATAGGGACAGAAGAGAGGGCAACCTGGGCTGTATTGGAATGTAACTAGGAGACCGCTGGTCTTCCTAATGTGTGACTAACATGTTACAGGATAAGGGCCTGATCCACTTTTGCAGCTAAGTTGTTCCCCACCCTGAGGGGGTCTTACCTGTTCATCACAGTAGGGTGGGGAACAAAGAGGGTTCTCTCCTCAAAGAAGCCAGAAGGAGCCTAAGGCCAGGCTCCATTTATTTTTTTACCCACAGAACAGTCCAGAGCCCCAGGCTAAGCTCAGAAGTACTCTCAAGCCAAGCTCATTGCTATAAACAATGAACCTCTAACCTGTTTAGGGATGGGAAAGAGACAGACAGAAAGAGGAAAAACAATAACAGAGAAAGACAGAAACATTCACAAAGCAGAATCAATCGGGGTAGGGGCAGAGGATCAGAGACAGACAGGGAGAAAATAAAACCAAAGGCCAAGAGAGATTATATTCTTTTCAATCATGACAGTCATTATTTACTTAAAGTTTTCTAGGGGCCAGGTGCTGGGCAAAGTGATGCAGACGTATTGTCTCAGGTGGAGATTAGATTCCCAATTGACAGATGAAGAAACTGAGGCCCAGCTGGGTGAGACTCAAGGTCTCACGGCTCGTTTTAAGTGGTAGGGTCAGGATTCACCCTTCTAGGTCTGGGCTGTCTACTGTGTCTCACAGAGGGAGCCAGACAGGAAAACAGAGACAAATAGACAGAAAGATGGAGATAGAGACAGAGGAAAGGGTGGCGGGGGGAGAGAGGGAGGGAGGGAGGGAGAGATGGAGACTTAACAGGCACGCAAGCAGACGATTACGTGAGCTGCAGACCTGCACAGCACCGTTTCCCAAGAGACGGGGGGGGGGGGCGGTGCGCGTAGAGCGGGCATGGGCGCCGAGCTCCGCAAGGTACTCACCTGGTTGTCTTCTGGGGCCCCTGGAGCACTCGCCCTCCCTTTGCTACCCGCACGATCCTCCGCAACCCGCTGACCTAGGGTTGAGAGGCCGCCCAGGTAAAAACTCGCCCAGGTCCCACCCCTCACGCGCTCCGGCCCGGCGTCTTTCCCCCCGCGCCCCCCACCCCGGTCTTTACAGCGCCTCACCGGGCACCTTCGGCCGTCGGCGCCGCCGCTGCCGCGCGCAAGCAGATTCCAAGCGCTGACAGCTGGATGTCGCGAAATGCACTGGACGCGTCCCTCCCGTCTGCCGGAGCGCGAGTGGGGTCGCAGGCCGCCACCGCTACGGACGGCTCCAGGCTCTCACTGGAGAAGCGCCCTCCTGCCTTCCCTGGGATTGGCTGCAGAGGGAAACACTTTATTTTTACCCTCCAAGCCCGGATCCAGGCCGAAGAAAACCCGCCCCTTTGGTGGTCTTGATTGGCTTATGAGCCAAGCCCACCCTTTACTAGGATTGGCCAGGAGGTCGACTCGTCATCGCTGTTTGCCAGTCCATTCGACAGGGCTTTGGGAGATTAGTTAGGAGCACGCAAGCGCGAAGCCCAAAGTGAGGCCTGGCGCGACTCACTTGACAGTTGGAGACCGCCGCTTCTTGACGTCTCATTTTCCGCAAGCCACCGCTCCGCTAAGAGACACGACTCTGCCCCCAGTTTCCCATAGCTTACCCCCACCTGCAGGGATTTCTGAGCCAAGTTTCTCTCGCTCAAAGTGAGCCTAGCTCGTAATTTTATCCCTGGAGGATAAGGTGGTTATAGGGGTCTGGCCAGTCACCCACCAGCTCCTGCTCCTTACTGATTAAGACATTGGTCAAGTGACATCCTCGCTCAGAGCCTCAGTTTAACCATCTGTGAGATAGGAAGATGACTTAAAACAATCTTTCCTGACAATGCCACTCACTCGGTGTAATCAATGATAGAACATAAAATAATTGCTTGGAGAATAAATATGGTCTCTCCTCTCTCCCCACTGCCTGATTCTTGTCTTTGTCATTATTTCAGTCTGAGGGAACTATGGCCCAGAGAGTCAAACTAATTGGCTTGAGGTCACACAGCAATAAGACTCAGCACAAAACCCAGGCTTCTGTCCTCCAAACGAAAGCTGTGTAAGAAGGAAGGAGAGGCAGGAAGGACCTCCCTATTACTAGAGGTTCTTAATTTAGGTTTACAGACTTCCAATCCAATACAGGGACAGGGCTTGAAGGGGTCCATGTATCTGGATGGGGAAAAAATTACATCATTGTTTTCACTCTCCTCTAATTGAAATTGAGCATCTTTTCAGTAAAAAGTGTACCTAACAATAGTAGTAGTAACACCTGTGACTCTATCACTAGTAGAAATCACAGAGATTTTCATACCACATGTTGTACATTTCTTGAAATATCATGTAATCTCATCTCTATCTTAAAATCATGATCATCATTGGACCCTCCATTAGATCTTGTGATTTAATGAATTAACAAGAAGCACATATATTACTATGACACATATTTGCCTTTCCATATTTTAGAACTATATTTCAATACAGTCAATAGTTTGTAGCTCTAATATTTTATTTCATGCATTTAAAGATACTGTTTCCTGAGAAAAGGTCCATAGGCTCCACCAGATCACCGAACAGGTCCATGGCACCAAAGCATGTTGAGAACACTTGTCTTCAACCCTGGGCTCTAAGAGGACAAAGACTTGTTCTAACATGTTTCCTTGTTTTATCCCTATCACCAAGTTTCTATCAGGCACACAGCAGGTGCTCAATAAATGTTTACTGAATGAAAAATAGGATGCCTCCCTAACCATCCTCCACAGCCCCAACTGAGGGAGCCAGTGCTGGCCTTTTTGGTCACCAAAGAAGGAGGAGTCTAGTCTCCAGAATCTAGTTTTGTCCCTGCCGATCTGCTTTTGTTCACAGAAGTGGGTGGCAATTTAGAGGTCTGGCCCCAGGAGATCCTATGAACCTCATCCTCAGGAGCAGGGCCCTCTACTGCAGGAGAGTGGGGTGAGTGTGAAGGACACAAAGACAAGTAGCTTCAGCATAGGAACAGGCCCTGGGGCGCATTGGGTTCATGACTCCTCATCCTCCTCCTGGTTTCTGTTTGGAGTCCCAGCAAATGGGCCTGACTTCACTGGTCTTCAGCAAAGACTATAATTTGGAGTTGGATAGTGACCTTAAGGACATTCTAGAACAGTCTTCCCTTTTGGAAGACCAGACTGGGCAGGACCTGAATCCACACCACACACTGAGGAGTTAGGACACAGGGAACAAGATGCCACCCTAGGCAAAGAACATTGTCTCCTACCATGCCTCAGTTCAAGACATGAGCACTCTACCCAACTATATTAGAATCCCATAACTGGCTTCTAACAGTGTCCCTGAAGTCAGAGGCTCTCTCTGACAGGGTAGGTGAAGAGGAGCCTCAAATGCCAGGATGAGGGGCTAGGGATTTGATTTGAGGGACAGAGCATGATTAAGGCCAGGCTTCAGAGGTCTGCTTCAAGGCTAGATTCCATCTTGGGATGAGGTGGATTGCTTCTCCTGGGCTGATCCCCCAGCAATGATTAGCCTAAGTCTGCAGATAGAGAAAACTGAGACCCTCTAGGGAGGGTGAGGGAGTCATGTCGTGAGCCAGAGCAGACTGAGGGAAGGCTACCTAGCTCTCAGACTGCCTGGGATCCTCTTGCCAGGCTAACCTCTTTCTGGCCTATTCCAGGCCCTTTGCCCCTGCTGGCTCTCCTCTCCCCTCCACTTCACCACATGCTCATTGGGACTGGCTCCAGATCCTGCCCATAGGTATCCCTTCCCTCTGCACGAGATGCCTTGACTCAGCATCCTGTATGCTCAGCTCTGGCCCTGGGGCAAGATGTTCCCCTTTCTGGGCCAGTCTCCCCTACCCACTTCTGATAGTGTGGTCCCAGGTCAGAACCAGAGGCATCCAAGCTTCCATGCTCTCCCCAAAACATTTATCAGGATGTGGAGTATGTCCAAGATCTGGTATTTCAACCATTCCACAGAGAAGGTCCCACAACAACCTGGCAGTCAGTCATCCCAGACTTCTCTCAACCCCTCTTTTCCCATACCTAAAGCCTGTTGATTCCAGCATCTTAAAAGCACTCATAGAATAGACACATTTCTTGTGCTGGAGAATCCCAATTAATTTATGTAGATACTTCCTCCTCAAGGAGTTGGAGCATAACTCCCCACTCCCTAAGCATGGGCTACACTTAGTGGCTTCCTAAAAAGTACGGTATGCATGGAGGGGTGGGGTGGTGGTGATGGAGTAATTTTATAGTGGAGAAACCTGACATATACTACCTCAGCCAGGTGATCAAGTTAACACCAATAGTGATAAGGCATATTGATAGCGTGTACTCTTGATATTATTTAAAGAGAATGGTACTTTATTTCTGTGGTCTTCCTTTCCCAAACCCATAACCTCAGTCTAATCATGAGGAAAATATCAGACAAATCTCAATTGAGGGAAATTCTGGAAAATACCTGACCAGTATTCCTCAAATGTTGATGACTCTACGTCAGCAAAAACAAGGGAAGTCCAAGAAACTGTCAAAGCCAAGAGTCATCTATGGAGACGTGATGACTAAATATAATGTGTTCTGGATGGCATCCTGGAACAGAAAAAAGGACATTAGGTAAAAACGAAGGAAATCTGAACAAAATATGGACTTCAGTTAATAATAATGTATTGATATTTGTTCATTAACTATGACAGATGTACCACAGTAATGTAAGATGTTAACAATAGGGGAAACTGGCAGTGGGGTATATGGGACCTCCTGTATCATCTTCTCAATAATTCTGTAAACCTAAAACTTCTAAAAGAAAAAAAATTATTTCAAAAAACCTCCCATATCCGCCCCCATCACTCCACTCTCACTTTAGGTATAGCGTCAACTTCCTCATGGCTCTCCCTCCCTGCAATCCATTCTCCTGGCAGCCAGCAGAGGGCATTCTCTAAAACGCAAATCTGACCGTATCTGAAGCCTTCCAGCAAAATAAGGGCGTTGGATGGAAAGTTCGGGAGATATACTGCAGAAGACAGACCCGGGTATCTGTATGTTATCGTTATGATTCCGAGAGAATCTGGGAGGTTTTTCTGATATCCGTGGAAATAAAATTACTGTATCCAAAATTTAAAGCAACTCAGCCTTTCCAAGATCTCCCAGGTAAAGCCTGGCTTTCAGACCCTCAGCTCCTGACCACCCCCGTCATACAGCTTCAGAGTAATTTTCCTTTGCTTTACCCTTATCTCTGTGCAAACTACTCGTGAAAACTACTTGGCCCGGGCTGTCTTGCCTTCTTTCCCATGCCCAGTTCCAGTAATCCTGCACCCTCTTCCTAAGACGAAAGAGCACTCCTGCATTATTGGGTTGTGAAGTCCCGACCGATATCATTTTTATTTTACTACATGCGAACAAGAAAAATGGATTCCTCTGGCACCCCCACGCCCAGTTCACACTAGGCCCGAGGAAAGGTTTGACGCACGATAAATAAAAAGATGAATCACCGAATTAATGGATGTTCTAGGGCGCAGAGAGTCTGTGCGCGTGCGCGAGAGGGGATGGCGTGGGAAGCTATTTGCTACCTGCCTAGGTCTACTGCGGCCGCCGGGAGAGGGAGGGGCTTCCCCAGCCTCGCCCTGCCATTGGCCAGGATGGTCCGCATTGGCCTGACGCAACACCTCTGCGGCCCGCGCAGCTCGCCCCCAGCCAGGCACCCCCGCCCTCAGCCAGCCACCCCAACCCCCAGCAACTACGATCTTGCAGGCCACTGCATAGATGGGGTGGCTACTTAGGGGCCTTTGGGAACGGAGACTGGCTGCTGGGGACCGCGCACTGGGCCAGACAAAGGACTCGAAGCAGCATTTTGAATTTGCTCAGAATTTTATTAGGATTACCAGGGTTCACAGGGAACAAGGCGGGACTTCTGGGGGAGGGGGACGGGAATACCGCAATGGCAAAGCGGCCTTGCATAGACACCGAGGCGGGCTAGCGGGCACAGCGGGAGAAAGTCCAAGGATGGAGGGAGAGAGACTTGGAGAACAAGGTGGCAGCAGAGCCCCCACAAGGCCACAGCGGCCCTCCCCGCTTTGGGATCACGGGTGTCCACTCCACACAGCACGAGGAGGGGGATAGAGGGGCCCTGACCAAGGCATCACAATAAATACGTTTAGCAGCACACAGAAGCCTGCAGGGGAGGAGGGCCAAAGGGAAGGAGGAATCCCCCTTTCCTCCCCCCCCAAAATAAGAACTCTGCAATTACTAAACCATAAAAATAAACTTTAAACCCGTGTACGAAGTCAGTCACCCCCCAGAAGTGCAATGTGGGGCCGCTCGGCCCTAGCTGATAGGGAGGGCAAATGGGGCAGGGGGAGCGGGATAGAG